TCAGACTCAATCGGAGCAATCATAGTGCCCTCCTTGGAGCTGGCTGTGCCAAACCCAAGGGGCACGGGCTGTTTTTGGAGCAAAGCTGCCTTTAGTCTCATTTTAATAGTGGGATGAGTGTGGCTGACCATGTAGCTACAAGTTCATAGTTTTAAAGGGGGCATAATGGCTGAGTGCAATTTTATGAAAAGGAACTTGGTGGGTGTCCCCCATTTCCATGGGAGACACGGGGACAGCACATCGTCTGCCATGGGCGCTCATGAGTCCTCTCACCAGGATCTGTTTAGTAGCTGCTATGCATTTAGCACCGGGATAGCACAAAGTGATTCTTAAAAAGGTGAAAGATTAATTCTTAAATTTTAGTATTTGGAACAATTTAGTGAGTTTGTTTAAATAGATTCCCAAGATCAACCCCAGAGAGTCTGATGGAGTTCATCTAAGTAGAGATAAAAACCTTCATTTTAAACAAGTATTTCAGGTTACGGTTAGTGGAGGTTAGGGGAAGAGGAGACTGAGGGAGAGGAATGAAGGAAAGAAAGAGGGAGAAAAAAAGAAAGAGAAGGGACGAAGGAAGGGAAGGCAGGAGAGGGGATGTAGCTAACTGTCAAGACTCTAGATTTAACATCCAGTACTGGAAAAAAAAAATTGAGCCCAGCTGGACAACACATCAAGACTCTGTCTAAAACAAACAAACAAACAAACAAACAGATATTGCACGGGGGCAGGGGGAGGGGTTGTGAGCAACCCACCAGGGGCATGTTGTAGGCCATGGCATCTGACCTGTGATTTCTGAAACTTTCACTGTGTGTCCTATGTCAGAGGTTTCAGTTCTCAGGAACCAAATCCTGCTCATGAAGCCCTCCAGGGGTGCCCACATCAGCACCAGTTCCTCAGAGGGACCAGCGTGACTGACAATTCTGACACTGACTGTCAGCACAAAGCCCACACATTAGCAGGCAGACTCCCTAACAACAGTGCCTTCCCTTCAGGCCCAAGTGGCAGGAGCATTTGCAACAAATGGATACATTTACTGGAAAATATTTATTGACTAACCACCACTTTCCAGCACTGTATTCAATGGCTGGGGATACAGTGAACATCAAAAAGCTGTTCTCTCCTGTTATAGAACTTGTATGTTGACTTCCTGGGTTTTTGTTGTACTGGAGATGTAACCCAGGGCCTTGGCACTGAGCTCTGCCCTCAGTTGTTTTATTTTTAATGTTGAGACAGGGTCTCACAAAGTTGCCCAGGTTGGCCTTGAGGGTGGCATCCTCCTGCCTCAGTCTCCAAAGTGTCTGGAATTACAGGTGTGCCATCACGCCCAGCTTCCTGTTCTTAAAACATTCTATTTCATGTGTGGTAGCTGCCCCTGCACATTTGTAGAATGAATGGGTGAACTGAAAGTTATTCAACAAGGGTGAGATCCTTTACCACACAAATATACAGTGGTAAAACTTGCGATGCCCAGAACTCAGATGCAAGCGGTGATCCTGTGAGCTGGCGGTGGGGGCCAGGCCACTGGAGGACTTGGTTGCTGCACAAATCCGTAGTCACATAGGGAGTCCCCCTCCCCAATGGGGTGGGGTGTGGAGCTGGCTCCGGGAAGGGCTGCTAACCAAGCTGTGATCTACTTTGAGTAAGGTCCTGCTACTTGGCTGAGCCGGGCTGGGGAAACTGCCAACAGGGCTGCTTACCCAAGAAACTCTAGATGTAAGGAGGGACCTGTGGACCTTAGGGATAGCCTGAGGCACAGATGTAGAGGTAGCAATGCGGCCCCTGAGCCAGGCTGCAGGATTTTCATCTTGTGCGGGATGTGGTAACCTGTGCTTCACACATCCCTGTAACAGGCTGGGAGCCTGTGGATCCTTTCTCCGAATAGTATGTTTTTTGGTACCAAGGATCGAACTCACGACCTCACGCTTGCCAGGCAGGTGCCTATGCTGCTGAGCTAAGTCCCCGACCCCTGAATAGTATTTTTAATACCTGGGCTTAAAAGTGAATGAATGGGAACAAACTGAAGATCGTGAAGCATGATTATTAACACATGGAAAAGGCAATAGATTTGGTGACAGCAGAACCAAGTGATGCTGTTTACAGATGAAGCAAGGCAAGTGGTAGGCTGATAACTACCATCAGTTTGCGGTAGTGATGAGCATAAATGCTGAGAATATCTACAGAAGCTCTTACACAGCACACTGGCAGCAGACAGGTGCTGCTAACATTACTCTGGTTCATTGCTGACATTCACAATAGAAGGAAATGGTACATTCCAACTGGAGGCAGGGAAAATAAGGATGCTCATTTGTTTTGCTATTAAAAATCAAAGAGCCCTGAATGCTAGTACACACCTTTATGTAGCTATCACAGCTTTTTTTTGGGGGGGGGACGGGTCCCAGCTACATGGGAATTAAGACACTACTCGAAGATCTGTTTATTGATCAATCAAGATGCTCGACTGTTTTGCAGCAGCTGGAATGTTAAATGATGATGCTATGTGAATGCATGTATATTTATTCCTTTGTGCATACAAATACATACAAAAGCAAACATATAAATGTGAGTATAGGTTCTTCTGAAATAAAGTTTAATTTAACAACTTATTTGCAGGCATGTGTACATGATGACAAAAATTAAACTCTGGCTAGGATCGGATGGAAAGGAGCTCTTTAAACAGCTACTTTATTATTTATTTATTTAATGTTTGAGATAGGGTCTCGCTGTGCAGTTCATGCTGGCCTTGAGCTTGCTTTGTAGTCCAGGCTGGTCTTGAATTTGCAACAATCTTCCTGCCTCAGCCTCCCGGGTGCTAGGATTTTTGGTATGTGCCACCACGCCCAGTTTAAACAGCTACTTTTTAATTTAAACACATATATCCATAGGGTTGTGGCGGAATCAGCACCTTCCAGTTACACTGGCAAGAAGGGGACAGTGTTCATCAGGGTGAGGGGGTGTAGCTCTGTGGCACAGCGTGTGCCCAGCATGCCAAGGCTCTGGATCAAGTCCTGTGCCACACACACATGCACCCACGATTAGTGAAGGCCTTGACTGCCTGCTTATCACCAGCTGACCCTCACAGCGTGTTCTTCGTGGGTTTCTGCGAAGGGACTCTCCTGGTCTGTGACCTCGCCCTTGCAGGTGTGCTCACCACTGATCATCAGGCAGAGGAGGGGTGTGACCACTCTTCTGTGTGCCTTGGTGGGGAGTGGGGGCCCCTCACCATTTCTGTATATCCAGTGACAGTCCAAAAGCAATCACAGTCCATCCTTTTTGGGAAGATAATTCACCGAGCAAAGGGGATGCTTATTATTATTTTTTGAGACAGGGAGGGTCTTGCTATGCAGTTCAGGCTGGGCTTGCACTCACTGTGTAGCCCAGGCTGGTCTCAAACTCAGCTGTGGAGCCACACGGGACCCATAGCATAGGTGTGTGCCACCATACCTGGCTCAAAAGGGTGTGTCTTTTATTTTTCACTGGGGCCTCAGGAGACACAGCTGATCACTGGCTCCTCTCACCCTTATACAGAAGGTTGAATGGATGAATGCTAAGCCTGTGTGCCTATATCCTGGACTGACTCTCCTTCCACCCATTCACAGAAACAATTCACCGTGAGTGGGAAGCTCATTTGTTAGGCTGCCATGGGGCTCTTTTCCTGGTGGAGACAGCACAACCTCAACAGGTACGTACCCGCAGTAGGGCAGTGAAAGAGGAAAGAGAGAGCCCCAGGAGACACCTGGCGCTAGTATGACCCCACTGGGGAGAAGTCTGGAGTCCCCACCACACCTGTGGTACACTGGCTTCCAGGTGAGCGCTCGGAGAGAGAGGAAGTGTTTTGATTTTGGAGATGATGGTGAAACCAGTAAGAAACAAAGCCCCTGGCCTACAGCGTGTCTTCTAAAATATGCTTTTAATGAAAACGTTTCCGGAAACGAAAGAGGAAACTTTAAATGACAGAGGAAATTAGTAAAAACCTGTACAGCAGAAGGCAATGGCTTAAAAAAAAATTGGTTCACAAGGAGACAAACTACTTCCTGAGTACGTTATGATGTGGGGAACAAGCTCACCGAGTGCTCCTAACTGTCAAACAGATTCATGTGACATACCAGGAACTGCATTTTCAGAGAGGTGTGGTCTCAGGGAAAGGCTAAGGACCCAGAGGGACACTTGAGAATTGCCAAGTGAAATTATACTTGGGGCAGACAGCCTTTGAGTGGGGAGGCTTTTTAGCTATCAGTGTTTGGAACAAACTAAATTGTGCATAAAGATGTATTATGGGCAAATAGGGTCACTGGCAGGGGACAGGCATGAGCACGGCAGGAAGGTCCTGCAGGAGGCGCCTGGGGTCCTTGGGGTATTTATGGTGACTATTTTACTTATACTGCTTAGAGGACAATCACTCCTTGTTTGTTCCTAAATCCTTGCTTTTGTTTCCGATATAATTTTATATTATCGTAGGGGAAAATGGAAATACAGAAGGGCCACCAGCTCTCAGGAGGAGGACGGAACATTCTCTACTGTGAACTATGGGCTGGGCAAAAGGAAAGACATTTGACACACACCTGACCTTTACGGGCTCCTTTTCCTGTCGCCGTGGGCCTTACAGAGTAAAGGCCATTGAGATTCATTTACAGTGGAAGAAACAAATACAAATATATTTGTTTTTCTGTAAGTGATGTAAATTCCACTGGCACCCAAGAGCAGCAGAGGGTATACTATGCACTTTGTAATAAGAAACCTCACAATTCTCCAGCAGCTACAGGACCTCACACTTGACCAGATATTTCTCTATGTGTTTGTTGTTTCTTTTTTCCTTCCCTTCCTCCCTCCCTCCCTCCTTCCTTCCTTTTCTTTTTCTTTCTTCTCTTTCTTTTTGCCACAGTTATAAAGCTCTGATTTCACTTACAAGTTAAAGTATATTAGTTTCAGGTAACAAATAATCCCACCCACTTCACATGGATGGTGACATTCAAGGGTAATTTTATCTGGCACTGGAAGCCTACTGGTTGGTTTCTAGATCCATCTTTATTTTCAGCTCAAAGAAAAAACAGGGGTGTAGCTTAGCGGTAAGGTGGTAACCTAGCATGTGCAACATCCTATACACACACACACACACACACACACACACACACACACACCCCGAGAGAGAACACACTAGGAAACACCATAGTGGAAAATGTTACCTTTTAGTTCACACTCTCATAATCCCTTAGTCCTATAAAATAAACATTCTAAAGTATAAGCAGTGGGAAATAATGTAAACTCTGCAGAACCAAAATAAATTAGCTCCTTTCAAACTCAGCGGAGGTCCTTCTGCTGAACACTACACTCTGCTGCAAATAAAATCAGCACGATGACTCGAATGAAGACGTCTTTGGCCTGTGTCACCGTTTCTCCAGCACTGCATAACAGGCATAGTTCACATTCGCTGTCTTCTCCAAATGCAGCAAAAAGGCAAGGAGATGTTTGTGTTTGAGAGCCTAAAAGATAGAAAAAAAAATATTTTTCCTCAGTGGTTTAAGAAGTGCTTTTTCCTTTGGTGTGAAACCATAACTATATTGTAGCTCTAAACTCCGAGGCCAAAAGATAATTCAAGGGCAGAGAAATGACTGTTTGCAGGGCAAGGCTGGGGTTTTACTGTGAGATGTGGGTTCAGATTTGATCTGCTCTGCGACCTGGAGTCAGCTTGGCCCCTGCAGGCAGCCTCAGAAGTCTGGTTGCTTTGGATTTCTGGAGCAGGTCTGACGATGGACCCTGGGACCATGTTGGGGTACATGGACCTGAGCTTGTTGCTATCTAAAAGCTTTGTTGCTTCTCCCAGAGAAGGTTCCATGCCCACCTCTAACCCTGCAACCTTGTTGAAAGACAGTGATCAGAGTACATTTTAAAAACAATAAACAAATATGTTTGCCACTCTAGGAAAAACATGATTGTAAGGATGTAGGCTCGCACCTGAACTTATACATGGAAAGATTTATCTGCAGCCAAAAGACTTTGCCAGCGTGCTGGCCAGCGTGTGGGCCTCCCGTGGAAAACTGCAAGGGCCGGCCGCAGAGGAGACGCTTGATTAGTTTAAAAGCAGAACACACTGTCACAGTGGGTGACGGGGACTTTAAACACTCCCCTAACATCTGACTCAAGTCAGGGGAGTAAACACAAAACAGTTACTGCAAGTGTAACAACTGAGCAAAGGAAAATACTTTAGATGTTAGAGGGGAGGTTTGGCGGGTACAGACCTTGACACCCACCGGGCCCCCACAGCGGCTCCCTTGACCCTGAACAAGAGGGTCAGTGAATCCCCAGGGTGGGCTCTGGGGATCAGAGAGGACCCCATGCCTGGCAAGGCAAGGCTGGGACAGGGCCTTCCGTGCAGCAGGGTAGCAGACACGACTGCTGTGTGGAGAGCACAGCACCGCAGTCCTGTGCTTAAAGGGGCTTCTGTCTGTCTGTCCCCCATTGCGAGGAAACCCAGGACTGCAAGTCTGATTACAGATGAAAAAAAAAAAACTCAGATACAACAGCTAAGGTGAGAACATATTAACATGTATTGTTTATCCAGTGGGGGGAAATCACTTTAAGAAGTTTATTCTGTAGGAAGTATTATGGAAGACAGATTATATGGAGTTCTATTTTGGTATGGGAACTTTAAGAAATCAAAACATTTCTTTTCTTTGTTCTTCCCTTTCCCTTCTCTTTCTTCCCCTTCCCTCCCTTTCCTTCTTTCCTTCTTCTTCAGTACTGGCGATTGAACTCATGGCCTCACCCGGAGTTTCATTTATCCCCAGTCCTTTTTATTTTGACACAGGTTTCTGCTAAGTTGCCCAGGCTCAAACTTGGAATCCTTCTGCCTCAGCCTCCTGAAGAGCTGAGGACCCAGGTGTGTACCACCATCCTTGGAAAGGAATTTAAGGGGAGTTAAGATGTGAAAACTGCTACTTAAGCTTCAAGAGATCTAATAGGAGAGGGTTAATTATCTATCACTGGCCTGGAAAGGGGCCAGGGGCCAGGTGTGCTGTGCTCTGGGCTCAGGTCACTGCCCTCTTCCTTGAAGCACAATGCGGATGAGCAGCTTTGGAACTGCTGTGTGGAAAAGACCTGAATTGTGGGGCCCACTGCTCTTGGCGTTGCACCTGCTGGGGTGGGAGAGGCCCTGTCTGGAGAGGGGCTGGCACGAAGCCACCAACTGAACATTAATTTATGCTTATGAAGCATCTTTGATCATTTCCATCCTAAATGCAGTTTAGGGGTGAAACGAGCTGGTATGTTTTGTTGTAAGCCCGATTCTAGAATGGCCACTCTTTGGTCAATAACACTCAATGATAACAGAACCACAGTAACCGGATTTCATACTAAATAGACCTTTGGACCAACCAGAATGAAGGGAGCACCTGAATTTTTCAGGAATTTGGCCAGACTCTATTGTGTGTTCATTTGAATGAATCCTGCCAGGGCTCAGAAAGATGAAGGTTCAAACTGAGAAATAAGACACAGAGACACAAGCCCCCCAAAACAGTCACCTTCAAACAAGAGGCTGAACAGCCAGAATGGTTTCACTGGGAAACTTTGTTTTAATGAGTTCTATTTTGTGACATCCAAAGAATGACTCATGCTGTATTCTAACAATAGTGAAAGCAGCCAGGGCGGGACAAGGAGCCAGGGCTCAAGTTCTGGTGATTTCTTGGCTCTCAAGCAATTTCCTCGAGGGTGAGGTGGGCAGGAAAGAGGGGGGCGGGGGGAGTGAAGTGCTCATCAGCTGTGCACAGGTCTCCTCTTCTGGTTCCCTTCGCTTCTCCAGGAGTCACGAATGTGTCACCTGGGAACCGAGATCCAGGATGATCCACAGAGGAAATGGACCGGGCATTTCCTCTTCTGATCTAAGTAGTCTAAGCCGACTGCTGCCCAACATTTAACAGTTTTATTTTATGCATTTTTAATGTCTAAAAACCTTTGGCTATTAGTAGAAATGGTCTTTGCTTTCCCGTGAGGGGCACAGGAAATAGAATGTTTCTTCGATCATTATATCAGGGAGTCACTAAGTGGGATTTTGTTTTGTAGGATGGTTTTTATCTTAGGACACCCTGGATCTTTCTGCCATTGTTTAAGCAGGGTCAGATAATGGGTTTGGAACTGCTACCTTGCCAGCTTGGAGTAGGATTTAGCAGCTGACAAAGAGGCAGTCTCGGATAAATGGAGCGTGTGTGTGTGTGTGTGTGTGCGCGTGTGCGTGTGTGTGTTTCCTCACTCACACAGAATTAAGTAAATAAAAGATGCCCATTACATTTTGACTGAGAAGAATTTGGACAGAGCTAGAGTTTAAATACTCCAATAAATGTTGTTAGTTAAACATCACCCGGCTCACAGGATTGATGCCAGCACTGGTCATGGTGGAGGTGACGTAATGACATGTGTTACCGGAAAAGAGAGGCAGTGTCACACAGCGGGCAGGCAGCTCTGCAGCCCCACAGGTCGGGTGGGCCTCAGCCAGCACCTTTCAGGGGCCACAGGGCAAGTCTCAGTGGCCTCATGGGACAATACCTGCCTCGAAGAGGGCAAGTGTCCTGGAAGGCACGGGAGGTAATTACCGCTGCCTGGCGTCCTGACCATAGCTCCTACCATCTGTAGAAAAAATCTAGGGGAGCGCATGTTAGGAAACATGAGTATCTTCAGCAATAAAGGACGGGGATGTGTGTGTTAGTGAAGTGAAGGGCATGTCCCTTGACAATACCAGAGTCTTAACTGCAATAATTACAGCATAATTGGGCTAATAATATGACCTCCTTAGAGAGCAAATGAAAATTGACCAAAAGCCTGGAAAAATACTAATCAAGAGAGATGAGAATTGTACACACTTGTTCCGGAGACAAAGGACAGAGATGTACCATTCAAGATTCTTGACATGAAAAGAGATTAGTTAGGCCAAGGCTCGATTTTTGTTGCTATTTTCTCCAAACCTACCTGAAAAATCCAAGACATTCACAACACAAAGTCTCAACAAAAGACCAAAAAAGCACTGTTATCAAAGTGTAATTTTATGGGTTTCTTTGTGAAACTCCTCATCCTTTCCATTTTCTAGTTTTTTTTTTTTTTTCAGGAATAATGAAGATAAAACCAGTGGTAGTGGCTTCAGATTAATTCAACCTCTTTCCTCAGCAACAAATACACAGAACTACCTCCCCAAACATGAAACCAACAGCCCCACACCTTGTCTTAATATAATTCCACCCAGGTTAGGTATGCAGCGTTTTTAGTAAGAAAGACTTCTAAAGGGGGGACGCTCCCCATGTTGACAACTGAAGTGACAGCACTGGAGATGGGGACCCTACAGGGTTGGGCCCTTTCACTGAGCTACATCCCCTGTCTCTAACATTCTGTAAAAAGCTCTGCCCTCTTAAACCATGGGGACCATGACTGCAAAGGCCCTGGTATCTGCTTCCTTGTCTCTCCTCTGGCCCTGAGTAGGAAGATCTGCCTAGCTGGATGTGTCTTTTCATCCAGATGTTGCCACAGTCAAGTGTTGGGGGTTGAATGTCACTCTGCCCCCAAATAACTCTGGGCACCTGCCACGGTGATCTTATTGGGGAATAGGGTCTTTTGCAGAGTAATTAGGTTAAGATAGACTTGGGCCTGAAACTAATCTGACTGGTGTCCTTATAAAAAAGAGAATTCGGGGTGAGGTGGTGTACACCTATAATCCCAGCACTTGGGAGGCTGAGGCAGGAGGACTGACATGAGTTTGAGGCCATCCTGGTCGACATAAACTAAATGAGTTCAAGGCCAGCCTTGAACAAACCAAAGCAAAACAAACACTCCCCCCCAAAAAAGAAACAAAGAAAGAGGGAGGGTCACGTGAAAATGGAGACACAGGGGGACAGCCCAGTGACCAAGAGGCAGATTGAAGTGACAGGGAAGGTCCTGGACATCCCTAGGGGAGTACAACACCTGCTCAGGTAACAACCTGACCACAAACGTCCAACCTCCAGAGCTTCAGGAGAACAGATTTGTGTTGTATAAAGCTACCCAGTTTGTGGTACTTTGTTATGGCAGACCTAGGGGACAAGTACACTAGGATTCCTCTAGCATGATTCTAACTGTACCAGAGATGAGAGGTAGAAGGGAAAAGTTACTGCTTTTATCTGGAATAAAAACAATGATTTCACTGGGCTCCTTTGTTTAGGGCACGGATGCTCTAAATACATCTGTATTTGGAGAGAGCATGATTCGATGTCAACTGGACTGAAGTCTGGGTACACTAAGGGCCCTGGACTGACTGTTGAATCGAACGTCCACACTTGGAAGTAGATCCGCGTCACAGGCAGCTGTTAGGTAGGAGTGCATAGTGACCAAGGAAGTAAACCATTGATTGGCTCGTTTTTATAATAAATTTCAGAGAAACAAAACGAAAAGCATTTGAACTGCCAAAGGGTATGGGGGAGGAGTAATAACCCAACAGCCTACCTGGATCAGGTCCTGTGAGGGCCTTGTGACGTTAGAACAAGCCTTTGACTTGCTCTGTTTCTGTGTCAAGATCTATATCATAAAAGCAGGGTCGAGTGGGCAGTCCTGGCATGGTGCTCATCTGGGGAAGAAAACAAAGCGTTACACATTAGCAAATGCTACAAAGCAATCGTGTTGAACACTGTATTTCTGATGACACAAATCATATCATTCAGTACAGCCTTGTAGGACTTGACATTCTGTATACATGCAACTCTAAATTTACCATCTGCTATTTCAATCTTTAAGGAAATTAAATAGAAGAAGCAGATGCTGATGGCGTGTAAATTTAGCCCATGTAGCTTCTCCATGGTCCCACGGCACACTGCAGGTACCAAGTGGTCTAATTCTTTTCTGCTCAGTTGATCTGAACCCCACAAGGCCAGCCCCCAGCCACAGGGGTGGCGGGTGCTGGTGCAGTGAGCCACTGCCTCCTCCTCCTCCTCCTCCTCCCTCCTTCACAGAGGCGGTACCTGTGTCTGTGCCACTCACAGCTCTTGGAGCTCGGCATGAGGGCTCCTGCTGTCTGGATGACAGTCACCTGCCCACCTGCACAAGAACCCACTAAGTGCCCACCTGCTTCATCAGCTCAGTAGCCCACGATGGGGGTCCTCTGTATTATCTTCATTTTACAGGAAACTGAGGTGTAGACAGGGTCAGTGGTCCCCAGTCCCACACACAGGTAGTAACTGCCAGAAAGGCAATCTGACACATGCCTGGAAAGTCACCCGACTGAGTTCACTGCCCGCACCTCTGTGGCACTCTGGCTTTTATAAGGGTGACTGCATTTAGGTCCCTATCACCTTCTGAGCAAGGTCCTTTCGCCTCACATTATTTTACTTCAGTTTCTCTTGCAGCACTCAACACTGAACATGGGACCTTTGCGCGCCCCACCCCCCTTTTTTTCATTTTTAAGACAAAGTCTCCTGCCTCAGCCTCCCAGAAGCCTGGGATTATAGGTATGGGTCACCCCACTCAGCTTCACTTTATAGATAATACTAACGACAGGCACACAGCTCATCAGTGATAGTGACAGGATGAGAGCCAGTTCTACACTGCACAGAGTCTGGAGGAAAGGGCTTCTCAGTGTGTCCTCTGTCACATGAATCAGAAACCAGTGTGCCTGGTGGGAAGCACTGCTTCTCCCAGGTGTCCCACACTGCCCCAGGATCTGGACTTCGAGGCTCCTGGATGGCCCACTCCTTCGCCACATTCATCTAAGTGCTGCTTACAAATCACAGGGGTGTTGATCACCTGCAGGCGGAGGCTGGGGCTCTGCTCAGCCTGGTTCCACCAAGGCTGAGCACTGTGCCATGTAGAATGTCTCCCCTGGCTGAGAGCTCTTCAGGGGACGGGGCTGCAGTGAGTGCAGCCAGGGCTGATCGGCACCCCGGCTGGACCGTCTCTTCCCACCCAGCCAAGTGTGCTCAGGGGACATGGGACCTTGCCAGGGTCATAGACTCGGCTCTCCTCTCTACTTCTCTTCTGTGGGGACCGAACTTTCCTCCCCTGCTCCATGATGTGTCTGGGGACCTGTCAGAAAGGTACTGGGTCAGATTCTACAGGTGTAGCAAGACTCCAGGGGAGTCAGATGCTCTCTGCAGTTTGAGAAGTGCTGACCCAGACAATGTGGCTCCTAGTGGCCCTTTCCCTCTGGCTCCGGGAAACTCCCACAGGGCGCCTTCTCCTTGCCACCTGAGCAGCAGGTGTCAGAGTCACGCATTCCCTGACCTGCTGGGTGGGCTGGCCCTGGAGAGTGGGGGTGGGGCAGAACAAGCAGAGGCAGAGGAAGCAGGTGGAGGCAGGCTGCTGTCTCTGTACTGCACAGGACTGTGCTTCAGGTGTCTGGGATGCCTAAAGAGGCTTCTAGGGTTGCCTGGAATACAGGTCTCATTTATAACACACTATGAGAAAAGGCAGTCTGGGTCCAAATAGTTAACTATAAATACACTTTTGATCCCCAACCTGTTTGAAGGTGGGGAGTTTCTATACTTAAAAGTTTAATATGTGCATGGTTCCCTTATCCTCCTACCATGACTGCTCCTAGCTGGAGGCTAACAGTTTCATACAGCTGAAGACACACCAGAAAGAAAACCATGCTTAGCGTTTTACTGCTCAGACATCTTACACAAGTGACACTGCAGGTACGGCAAGTGGGAATCATTCACCTATTTTCCCAGTGGCCCGATGGGACCATTAATCCTGATTTGTCACCTTCACTGGATAAAGAAATGCCCTGCAGATTAGTAGAGCAAGATGCCTGGCACGTGAGTCTGGCTCACGGAGGCGTGGTTTTGGGGACCGGCTCTGCTCCCTGTTCTACTTCCTGGCCTCCATGATCTAAGCAGCTTTTCTCTGCCACACCCTTTTCCATCATGTTCTTGCCTTAGAGCCAGCTGAATGTCCTCAAAGCAGGAGCTAAATTAAACTTGTCCTTCAAATTGTAGGTGTCAGGTATTGTGTTCCAGCAACAGGAGAGCTAATTAATGCACCTGGATTACAACGCATGCCAGGTTTCTATAGCAATTTCCCTGCCTAGATGCATTTTGAGGTGACATTTTAAGGTATTATGTGGCATTCTAGAGGGTATCTTAATATAGCCGTGCAATCTGTGTGGGGCTCTGGATTTGGAGAAACAAAATTTATCAAGAGGAAGAAATGAATGATCGCATTCAGCCATATGGACACCGTCCCGTCTGTTAGCTTTCTGGGGTAAAGCACCGTTTACGTCATGTGGATTGTAAGGGAGCTACTAAGTAGCTCCTGAGGCTGCCACACTGTCTGCACAGGGCAGAGTGCAGTATCAGGCAGGTAAGGCTGAATTCCACGTCCGGTGACAAAACCCAAGTAGGCCCTGAAGGCAGTGGATTAGGGCCACCTTACAAAGCTGCCGGGGAGGAGTCTATCGGAGAAAGCCCGACTGTCCTGCGCACGTGCTTGTTCGCACCGTTTCCTCAGACCTGAACGTTCTATTCTCTACCTATGACTTTCAGCTGGTGAAAGGCCCAGAATGACACAGCCAGGGAATGACTCGTTTCCCAAAGGCAGATCTACCAGCTGCTGCAAATTACAACAATCATTCTTTGGTCATTCTGATTGTGTCGCAAAACTGGGAGCGAAAATGCTAAGTGTAAAAAGTGCGAGAAATCTTTCCTTCATTTCCAACTCCTTTCTTTCAAATGGGAGGAAAAAAACGAACTGTTTAGACGATGCCCCCGTTCTTTCCTGATGATGCAGTAATCACTTCTGAGAATCAGGACTACTTTATTTGGGATAAACAAGAGCAGACAAAAAAACCACACAGAATCCAGAGAGTCTCCCTGACCTGGGGATAAACAGTCATCTCCAATAAGTCCACTTTAAAAATAAAACCATTTCTGCTGAGCAAATGCAATGTGGGGTTATGTTAAGAAGACTGTATATATTTCAATCAAATTCTCTACCAATAAAATGCCCTAACCCAGGACTGTAACCCCCACACAGGACTCCAAACAGCACTACACTGGAAAAAAAGTCCGGAGAGCCCTTGGGAGCTGATCTCTGGCCACACGCCCGGGTCACTGGGGCTGTGTGTTGACTTTATCTGTGTGCCCTCCACAGAGGCCTCCTGCTTAAAATAGCTAAGGAGCCACTAAATTGTACTTGCTTGTCATATGGCATTACTGGGTTCTTTTACAAAGGCCAAAAAACATGGGCTTTTGTCCTGACCCTTATTTTAACTACAATGCATCTTCCAAATCTTTACTGATTTGGGGTTAACATAACTTATTTTGGGGAAATGAGGAGTCCTATCAATAGCCTTTATGAGCATAAAGACCAGTAAAGATAATGGCTATATACTTAAAATGAGTCACTAAGAAGTAAAAAAAATACTCTTGCTGTAAGTAGAAAAAATATTGTTTTATAATAGAATTTTAATTTCTACTTAGCTAAAGTATCATTGTAATTAGTTTTGTTGTATTTGTGAAAAAAGTCTATTTTCTTATTTCTCCTTAAATTTTCTAATGTTTTCTTACTGAATAAATCATCTTAAGTTTTATTTTGGTTCAGAAAAGTACTATTTGTATGCACATTCAATTTTCCCCTACAGTTCATGATCTGAAGGAGAAGGAAATCTTTCTGCACTTTTCTCTCCTCTCCCAATAGATGAGTGATACATATGAGTGATACATACGATCTTTCAAAAAATACTGAACAACTGCTAGGCACAGTGGCGCAGGTCTCTAACTGCAGCTACTTGGGAAGCTGAGGTGGAAGGATCAAAGGTTCCCGGCCAGCCTGGGTAACCTCCTAAGATCCTGTGTCAAAATAAAAATTTAACAGGAGATGAGGATCTCACTCTGTGATCAAGTATCTGCCTTGCCTGTGGAAGCTCTAGGTTCAATTTCCAGCACTGCAAAAAAAAGCAAAAATGAAAACTTAACCCCAAACTCTTACATCAGTTAGCAACTGTTCAAGTAATGAAGACCAGGCTGGAAAAATCCCTGAGCAGATAAAACTAATAACAAGGAGCCTAAGCCTGGCTTCAACTACATACAAGAGAGATGGAATGTGAGCAAATTTTTTTAAACAAATGCCTATATTAAAGAAAAATAGAAATTATGTTCAACCAATCAGAAGTTCCTGCTTATAGAACTAGAGACTTTCCAACAGAAGAAATTAACTAAGGCAACTATGTAACTGAACTCAAGGCCACGTTTTCTTTGCTTTACTTTTGTGTCCTTCTGTGGAGTGCTTCTGTTGTGGGGCTGGCTCAATTCATGGACCATTATTTGCTCAAATAAACTCTCTAAAAATTGTTTTGCCCAGTTTATCTTTTAAATCCTACATCATCATAGGATTTAAGCAAAAAGAATACTTTTTTTTTTAGTGAAATGGCTAAAAATTTAACATTCTCATATTTCTCTATTTATTTAGCTTTTTTTGAGACAGGGTCTCACTACACAGTTCAGGCTGACCTTGAACTTACTTTTGTAGCCCAGGCTGGCCTTGAATTCAAGTTGATCTTGTGTCAGCCTCCCAAGTGCTGGGATTGCAGGTGTGCAACACCACACTTGCCTTCTAACAACATCTTTATTAAGC